AAGCCACAGCTTTTAGTGTATCGCAGGGGTCAAGTAAGTTAAACCCTTGCAACTGCTATCTTCAGGACATGGTTATTTAGTAGAGAAGAAGTCTCGGGAAGGCCAGAGTAGTAGGAACAGCATATTGTATACATAGAGGAACGGAAAATAGATAGAAAGAGATGGGACTTGGAATGCATACAACCGGCCAGGAGAGCCAGTCGAGTCCAAGTGCTGGTTTGACAGCAGTCAGGCCAAAAGACAGAGATATAGAGCGTTCATTGGCTGGGTCGGTCTTAAAGGCCGACGCGGGCGGCCACGTCCCGCGCGCCAGTAATTCTGACGTCCGCCACGACCTTGAGGCCTAGACGGATTAAGGTCACGATTGGAAGGCCAGGCGTCGGGCGGGCAACGACCACTACAAGCGTATCGTGATAAATTCAATTATGGTTGATTGATGAAAAGAAGAAGCTCCGCCTTGAGTCGTCGAAAGGAGAGTACCCCAACTTCTGGCTCGCAATCCTCTATGCGAAGAACGTATCAGGAACGACTGCAAGAATCCTGAAACCATTCGGGATCGGTGTGGCTCATAGGCCGGAGTCAACCATCCAACAGCAGATCATGAGGCTCAAAGACCCGCTACCATTGACAGAAAAATCAGCTATGGTCTACAGCATACCATGTCAAAATAGCTATGCAAGGTACGTTGGTGAAACGGACAGAAGCCTTGGCACAAGGTTGCATGAACGTCAACAGGCAATCAACCGCAAGAATAAGCCGTCTATGGTCTATGACCACGCACAACAGAAGAACTACGTTTTGGCCTTTGACAAAGCAAGGGTAATAGCCCAAGCCTATGACAAAATGGCTATCTAGCTTGCTGCCGGAAAGTTGGTCTTCGACTGGCACACGTAACAGAGCCAAAGACCTTCATCCCGCCTACCGGCGTTACTCACACGGCTCGAGTCAGTTCGAACAAGGCCAACAGGAAAGCAAAGTTAACACAAGCATGGACTTCAACTGAGGTTAGGGTAAAATAGGGGAGGAGCCGGCCAGGAGCCACGTGACCAGCGTGCAACACTACTTCACCGCCGCGCCTATGAGATTGACATCAACTCACGTGGGCAGCAAAAGCTGATTGGTCCGCCGGTCGACGAGAGGCAGGCCAGTCAGTACGCTGACTTACGACAGCCGCAAAGGATGCAAAGGTCATAGGAGCCCACCAGCAGTCAAACTCATGAACTCTGCGAACAGGCAGGTCGAAGTTCGTGCGTCGAGCACGGATATAACGCCAGGCAGACAGCGAGGCTGAAATAGTCCCGACAAACAGGAGCAATCACCTAGTTACTCTAACGATTGAACCAAGCAAGTGTCCGAAAAGCCAGTCTCAATATAATTCGGCCTATGCCCTCGTACCTTCTTCTTCATCCTATTTTGGTGCATGGTGAAAACGGTAAGATATTGGCACCTCAAATATTCACGCATATAGGTTATGATTCCAGCGATTGGTAATATCAAGGATCAGCACTCTTAACTATCCACCGCAGCAATACGCGGGCAAGCGAGCAGGTACGGCGGCAAGACTTTTAAATAGCGCCAATTATTAGTGTTTGCAAGATGCCCAGACATCCTCTGGAAGCGGTTGGTAAAGTCCGGTTATTTACTATAGTTGCTGTTATCGTATGACATTCATTGTGGACTCGCTAGATATTCAACATGCTTGTTTGCCAAGTAGTCATTATGGCTTTGGAATAGTTGTCTATAGAAGTAAGCTAGTCGATTTATCTCGGTGGACGGGGCCTGCAGTGGGCCTAGTTACTCATCGCAAACGAGGTTACCAACGCTGACCAATGTGGAGCACGGACATACTTTTAGAATCCATTGCACGATCTATGCGGATAACTGTGTGATTATTTCTGCCACTAACAACCTGATTGGTCCATATTTGGACCAACTGCATTAAGGGGACGTAAAGAATGTTAACTTTCTACAAGTTGGTCAGGATTGATAAAGTTTTACCACACATTGATCCTTGACAGATCCACCAAAGATTGAAATGCTTCATCATTGCACCATGCAGAAGTCTACAATTGACAAAATTTGCGCCCGGGATTGGCCTGGTTGCGTGTTCGATATTATAATAATTTAACCCAAAAGTTTAATTAATTCGATTAAAATGCACGTAACAATGTCCAGATCAAGCATAAATGATTAATTCCGATGAATATATATATAACATTTCTGAATGAATACATACCCGATCAGCAGTGACAGCAAATGGCAGGTGGCGAGGCGCTG